CAACCCCATGATCTCATGCACACTAGGACAAGGAAGAGAGAGCATAACCCAAAGCAGCAGCATAACTGAATGCAGTAAAAGCACGGAATATAACAATACAATGTGAGCTAGGGGGGGGTGGGGCCTGCATCCTGTACTACCGGCCGGTGGGGCCAGGCAGAGGGCCTGTTCGGGACAAGTAGTGCCGCTAAAAAACTAACGAAAAGTGTTTTAGCAGGAAACAGGCAGGTCCCGAGTATTGCCGCTACGAAATTGAACCGAAGTGAAGAGAAAATGGAACAGAAATTGGGGGCCGGGGAGGGGGAATGGAACAGGAATTAGGGGGGAAAAAGAAGAAAATTGTAATGAACTGAGTCTAGTCATCCAATCATGTTGCAGATAACAATGTCGTGCAGTGTCGTGACATAATCAATCCAATAAGCCCATCAGTTCGAAGTCGTTGAAGTACATGTTTCCTCATTACCACGTGTAAAGTCTCAAAGTCCACAGTATCCAGAAGAGAGAGGAGGGAAGAATAGACAGTTGGAAGGAGAAGTGTAACACAGCAATTAAGCCCCTCTTCTCCTTCAGGCTGCCCACCTCTGCGATGTCAGCAATCTGCAGTCAATGTGCCACGTCAGCATTCCGCACTCAATGTGCCACGTCGGCAATCTGAACTCGAGGAGACACGTGGACGATTGTGAAAGAAGCCCTCACAGATAAACGATCCTCCAACAGCCAGCAGAATTGGCAGCCGCTTCACATATGAAGAAACCAGGTACGCACTCATGACAACTCACATCACCCACACTCTCTCTCTCCCTCTCCTCATTCCCTCGCCGTCATCTATGGTCGCGACTATGGCCGCCCTCTCCCTCTCTCTACACTACGATATCTCGGTGGTGCCCATGAAGCAGCCTGGCACCAGCACTCCCTCTCAAGTCTCACGTGCAGCGTCGTAGCCGCAAACAACTTGCAAGACCGAATGTCCAAGCTGTGGCAAGGCCAACTTAATATAGTGTTGACTCGCCTGTCCACGGTCAGCGTCGGTCCATGTGAGGGCCCGGATTTTCCAATGTGTCCCAGTTTCGGTCTGAACTCCTTGAGGCCTGAATATTCCGGAACCTGTGGACTACTGTCAGATCATTCCAGATTGACGGCCAGGAGAATCGTCTGTGCTGACTTTGACTTCTCGGATCTGGGCCGAAGTCCACGAGCTGACTGTTGACTTTTTGGTCAACTGTCGGCCTGGGCCTTTTCTGAGGCCTGTTTGAACCCTCTATTTTCAAGCCTGATAACTCCGGCCTTTTGGCGCTCGTGTTGTATGGGAATTGGGTCCAGGAAGGCGGAGAGCAGGAATGGGGACTTCCTGAAAATGCTGATATGAAGAAACTCAGGCCGGTGATGGAGAGGCTGCCACTCATATTGGACATTCGCAAATGGACGGACCAGGAGAGATCGAAGCTGAAGAATGCAATGAAGATGAAGGCTCAAGAGAAAATTCTCTCGGACTTATACCAGGAATTGGGGTTAGTACCCGCTCCTCCTTCAGGTTCACACACATGCACACTTGCGAGCACACACATACACACACACAACATGCACACATGGATGTGTTTTGTTGGTTTGTGTTTTTATACATCGCCTACTTCTTTGGCCTGCTTTGTAACATGGGCTGTCTTGTTGATGAAGAAATGTCTGTGGGTGGCCACAAGTTTTTTTCTGGGGTGGGAGTTTGGGGTTTTGGCCACAATATCTCTGCGAGGGGGCTCAGAGACTGTATGATGTGGGTGTCATTCGCGCGGGCTGCTCTTTTGGAGCACATGGGAGAATGGGGTGCCTTCTTGGGTGTTTTAAGCAGTAGTGCTCCTGGTGTCCCGTGGAGGTTTGGTGGAATTTGGCATAGTTCTCGCAGTGGCCTCCCTGTAGCTCTAGGACATCATCTGATTCTGCAGGTTCCACGACAGGGGGAGGTTCATGGCACTCTTGATGTTGGGAACAGGTCCTGTGGTGTATTTTTGATTTGTGGTGGCGTTGTATGTCGTCGCAGAGGGCTCTAATTGTTTTTTAGGCCATTGTCATGTGTGGTCGGTGCATTTTTGTTAGTGGAGCCTTTTGTGTTATGCTGTTTTGTGGTTTTGCGGGCTGACGCGGAGGGCTCTGCAAGTTTAATCGGACTTATGGCGGATGTGGTCGGTGCTTTCTTGCTGGCGTGTCCTCTGTCTTAGCTAAGTTGCCTTTTGCGTTGCATCCTTTTATGGATTCTGAAATAAATATATGTATATGTGCAAGTGTGTCGCTTCGGTGGCAGACGGGTGTGTGGGCACTTGGTGCTGAACCACACAAACATGGCCTACCTTGCATTTTCTATTATACTATCTGTACTTTTTCGTTATGGATGGTTTGTTATGATTTGTGGAGGAAATGAGAGAGAGAATTTGGGGTCCTTTAACAACACACACACACACACACACACACACACACACACACACA